TCGTGGTTATTATCGCGCTGGCTACAAGAATGGTTAGCTCGTACTTCTTTCATGGAGTTATCTGCAAAAAATAACCAGTCGCTCGATATATGACTCACGAGCGTTCGGTTAATTGAGTTTACCTCGCGTTTTCTAAACCTCGGCAATACTCGTCGAAGTTCGATACAATATTTCGCATACATTAATTCGAGCGCAAGTATCCTGAGATTAGCTGTTCTTTTCTTTCTTCTCTCAAGTCCCGGGCAGTGTATCTATGAAAATACTTTTTTTACGGCCAGAAATATTTTTCGTACGAAGTTCTCGCATCCGATATTGCGGAATGTATTATCTGACGTTAAAATTATATTTTAAGAGTTAATAGCGTCATTATAGGATAGAAGTCGAATTGTGAATCTTTCGAAGTTGCTCATTCTCGGATCTTTGAGAAAAGTAGGACGAGAGACAGCTGGAAAGGTTAAACTGAAATCCGAATTAACGGTTAATTCATAGTCGCTATTGACAGCATGCTATTACGTATGTTATTTGTTAACTGAATCGTTTAATATTTATAAAAATCAAAGAAACAAGAGATTTTTTTATCATTGATATCACTCGCGTTCTCATTAAGAACGATGTCACTCAACATTTTAAAATGGTAATAGCTATCCAATACTTTCCAATGTAGCCGGTTTGGGTTTTAAATTTAGCAAAAGTAGGTTATCTTTCTCATCTTCAGTTCGTTCAATTCTATCGAGAGAAATCAGTTTTGATTTCGATTCGGTTTAGTTGTGAAAGTTTTTTTAGTTATTTTCAATTGTGGTTTTCTTTTGTTAATTTTGTACGCTATTCGCAAAACGTTCGATTTTGTCTTCAGTGATAAAATCTCTTCAATTTTTTTTATCAGTAGCAATGTTGTCTAATCGTCAAGCCACGTAATAAAAGTGTTTATAAATGCAAATAGTAGAAAAAAGAGGACTTCTGAATATTGGTGTCAGGTAGCAACGCGACTCACGTGGAATTGCTCGTGAGTGAAGATGTGAATTCAAGATGGTGTTTCTAATTTGTTCTTGATATTAAAGGCCATATTCTAATTCCACGGATCGCATGACATAGAGGTACAGGTGTATATCCTCGAGTAAATTGCGCCGGGTGCTAATTATGTAAATTGGCGTAGAGCCCTCCTTTCGAATAAATTAGTTAAAATGTGTACAGACTACCCATAATTTTCTATTGAAATTACTAGAATAGAGAAAGAACACTGAGTGACGAGTAAAATGCGGAAGGAGGGGAAGGAAGGATTCCCGGTCTTTCAGTAATAATTATTCCGGTATGATTGTGTTAAATAATTAGCGGTTTTAATCTCGGTCGTGATGCGACATGATGCACGCTAACCTTGAGGATAACATAGAGTGTCCGGGATCTTTTGGAAATGAAATATTGCAAAGATTAATGAGATCAAACTAAGAAAGAAAGTCAAATACCATGTTGCAAAAATCGTAATACAACGAGAGACACGATAAAGTGATTTTGCAACATGACAATACTCGACACCATGTTGCGAAAGTGGTCAAGACATACTTGGAAACGTTGAAATGGGAAGTCCTATCCCACCCGCCGTATTCTCCAGATGTTGCTCCCTCTGACTGTCACTTGTTTCGATCAATGGCACACGGCCTGGTTGACCAGCACGTCTTATGAAGAAGTAAGAAATTGGATCGATTCGTGGATCGCTTCAAAAGATGACCAGTTTTCTCAACGCGGGATTCGTATGCTGCCCGAAAAATGGGAGAAACTAGTGGCCAGCGATGCACAATACTTTGAATCATAAATATATAACCAGTTTTTTACAATAAAGCCTCGAATTTCGGAAAAAGAAAACGGCGGAAGCAAAGTTGTACACCTAATATTAATGATTAAAAATTACCACATTCAGAGGCTCTTCTAATTGATAATTTGAAAAGTTGCGTACTTATTTGTAAAATGGTAAAAGACTTTTCTTCTCAGTTTGACTTGATTAATCTTCACAATTTTTCATTTCTAAAAGGTCCCGGACATCCTATATAATTAAATCCATAACATAAACAGCCTTACTTTTAAGGAGAATGTTCCTAAGCGAAAATCATTTTTCATCATTTTTTCAATACTTTTATATACGGGGTGTTTCAGACTATCCAGATCACCCGATTTTTTCCGTAAATGCAAAATTTTAGAGAAAAATGTTTCAGACAAAAGTTGTAGGGTCTGAAAGGATCTATTTACTGATGCTATGAATTTGACCTTGGGATAACCTTGAAAAGTCTAGTAAAGATTAAAATAAAAATTTTAAATGGAAATTCCAATTTTTTATTAGACCGTTTTTTTCTCACCAATTAATTTGAACAACTTATCTAAAACATCTTTTTATTTGCCTAATACTTTTTTAAATATTTAAGAAAAACTTGATAACTTTTTTAATATTTAACATGATATCTCGCTGACTATTTGTCGGAAGAAAAAGTAGTACTAAACTTCTTTTTAGTCTCTATTTAGTCTCAAGAATATATTCTTACAATAGCGCCCTGACTTTTGTTAACTTACTGACTTTTGGAAATTTCAAAATCATCAAATTAACAAAAAAAGCAGAGCACTATTGGATATATTCAATATATTCTAGTATACAGGCAAATAAATAAAAATTTCATAAATATAGGAGATGGTATTACGGACCAATCACTTTATAAAAGAAAAAGTTTTTTATGTATTACCTCGGGAAAAGCATCGGATTTTATATACTTTAGCGCTTTCAGAATTAGGATATGATATGAATAGCATAAAGAACGAATAAAATATAGTAATACAAAATATTTTTTTTGCGCAGTAGTAAATCGTAAATTAAGGTCTTAATAGGACAGAATAAATGATATAGCGTTTCTTTACTTTAATTGTAGAGTTGCAAGGATTCATTGCGACATAACGTATTTCATTATATCGCAATATTTATAGAAGGTCCCATTTGTAGGAGGACCCATTCTTCAACTAGTATATTGATAAAATTAGTATGTCAATAAAACAAAAAACCTACAGATACGAATTAGAATATTGTATCATAAAGTCACTCGTTCTAAGAGAAATAGAAAGAACCAAACTTACAACTCTCTCTACATCAACGTTCATGCCTTATTTTCATATAATATCGTATACTATCAGGCTGGCAAAAAAGTCATGTCATTTTTTTCTATATAAATCAAAAGTAATTTTTTTATACAAAGCAAGAACTTTATTCTGCAATATATTGTTTGTTTAATTCAATGACCTTTTGCTATTTGTTTTGTAGCTTCATGATTCCGATCTCGTAGAACTTCTGCAAAAGAACTTCTGCGTTCTTATCGGCAAAAAACTAATCTAAGTACCGTTTGACAGCCGCATCAGAATCGAATTTTTTTCCCTTCAAGGAATTTTGCAAGGGATGAAATAAATGGTTATCTGATGGTGCAAGGTCAGGCGAATATGATGAATGTAGTCATATCCCATCCAAGTTGCAACAATTTCTAGTAGATAACCAGCGATATATGTTGTCCAGCGTTATCATAATGGAATATAACATCTTTCATGATTCACCAGTTCTGAGCACTTCTGTTTGCTTGATTCATATAATTTGTCTAATTGATGACAGTATAGTTCCGAATCAATCGTTTAATTACGTTTAAGTAGTTTAAAAAACACAAATCCTTGTAATTTTACCAAGTAGATAGCAAAGCATCTTCCTTTGGTGAATGTCTGCTCTAGAAGTGCTTTGTGACGGCTCATCACATTTGCTCTACAATCTTTTTCGTTCCACATTGTCGTGAATAATTCATTTTTTATCATCAGTTAACATTCGTTTCCAAAACGAATCGTTTTGTTCACGTTTCAGAACAGAATCGCTGATATTGACGCGATTGGAGATAAATTTCTTTAAGCTCATATGGAATCCAAATATCTAATTTATTGATGTATTCAAGTTGCTTTAAATGGTTTTTAATACTCATATGTAATACGTTTAGCTTCTTAGAGATCTCTTATATCATATAATGGCAGTAGGATTCAAGCCATGCTTTTATTTTGTCGTCATCAATCTCAATTGGCCGGCCTGACCATGATGCATTTCATAGAATAGAGCATTATTTCTAATTCACAAAAAAATCTCCTGAACAAAAACGAGCAAATGTTGACACTGGCTAAGTTTATTCAGGATTCCTCACCATACACAGCACATAATTTTTTACTTGCACACCGTTCTGTCCTTTTTAAAAGTAAAAAAGTAAAATATGACGGAAATGCTCGTTCTGATTTTCTATTTTTAATTCAATGCCAAACAAACAATTCTTTACCGAATGATGCATTCTTTTTTAAAGAAGATTTGAAATATCAGATTTTTAAAGAAGATTTGAGATATCAGATTTTTAAAGATTTAGGATATCAAATGATATAAAGGTTATAGAATTTGGAATAAAGTTAGTTGCGTTTAATGACAAATAAAGCCATCTATTCGAGAAAAACGACATGACTTTGCTGCCAGTTTGATATATAATTCACAAAATATGTATTATAGTGCAGTTGATGTATAATTTCATAGTGCTTTTTTCTAATAAAAGTTCGTCCGAGAAAAAGAAAGAATTTTGTAATGTTTTATTATCATTTTAAAGTCTTGGTCTTACTTTCTCAGATCATTTTTAAATTTTTAAATTTAATCAATTCTTCCTCTAGTTACAGGTTAACAAATATAACGTGTCAAGTAGAAAAAGCGACCTTTCCAAACATATGCTTTTGTTTGAGATAATTTAACGATATTTTAAATTTTATTAACCTGAATAAGTGGTGCGAATTGGTAACAGTTGGGCTGTTCGTAGGCTAACACATAGATGGCGCTACTAGAATAAATCCATAAGATGTTTAGTTAGTACCAACCTTCTAAAGAAACGTGTATAAATTTCACAGGTGTCGGACAATTGGTTCGTGAGATATAACATTGTGAGTGAAGCAACTTTTGTTATTGTGAAAAAATGGATAAAAAGGAATTTCGTGTGTTGATGAAGCATTGCTTTTTGGCGAAAAAAAATACTGTTGAAGCCAAGGCTTGGCTTGATAAACATTATTCGGACTCTGCACCAGGAAAATCAACCGTTGAGAAGTGGTTTGCTAAATTTAAACGAGGTGAAATGAGCATCGAAGACGATGCACGCAGTGGACGACCGAAAGAGGCTGTTACCGACGAAAACATCAAAAAAGTCCACAAAATAATTTTGAATGATCGTAGAGTGAAGTTGATCGACATAGCTGAGACTCTAAAGATATCGAAGGAACGTGTTGGATATATTGTGCATGAATATTTGAACATGCAAAAGCTGTGTGCAAAGTGGGTGCCGGGCGTGCTCACAATCGATCAAAAGCAACAACGTTTTGATGATTCGGAGCAATGTTTAGCGATATTCAACCGTAATAAAGACGAATTTTTCCGTCGATATATTACAATGGATAAAATGGCTCCATCATTACACTCCAGAGTCCAATCGACAGTCAGCCGAGTGGACCGAACGCGATGAACCGAAACCAAAGCGTGGAAAGAAGCAACAGTCGGCTGGCAAGGTTATGGCATTAGTATTCTGGGATGCGCGTGGTATTATATTCATTGATTACCTCGAAAAGGGCCAGACCATCAACAGCGAGTATTACATAACTTTGTTGGAGCGTTTAAAGGATGAAATCACGAAAAAACGGCCCCATTTGAAGAAAAAAAAGTGCTGTTTCATCAAGACAATGCACCGTGTCACAAATCAATGAAAACGATGGCAAAATTGCATGAATTAGGCTACGAATTGCTTCCCCATCCACCGTATTCTCCAGATCTGGCCTCCAGTGACTTTTTTCTGTTTGCAGACCTCAAAAGAATGCTTGCTGGAAAGAAATTTAGCACTGATTAAGAGGTTATCGCCGAAACTGAAGCCTATTTCGAGGCTAAAGAGAAATCGTACTATAAAAATGGTATCGAAAAATTGTATGACCGCTATAATCGTTGTATCGCCCTCGAAGGCAACTATATTGAATAATAAAATCGAATTTTACCAAAAACATTTGTCTTACTATGTTAGCCTACGAACTTTTCAGCCAAACTGTTACAATACTGCTTGCGTGAAAAGTTCGCGGAGCGGCATCTATAAGTAAACGGTAGAATTATAAATTGTGGTCGGTTATATAGAATCACTCTTCACATGAACATAGGTTAGGTTTCATTTCCATCGGTCAATTCTTTCTGTGTTTACAAGCCAATTGAAGTTGACGTGTCAGTATATTTGTTTGCAATGGAAAATTTGAAACAGCGTGCAGTGATTGAGTTCTATGTTAAAAAAGGTTTAAAGGCAATGGAAATTCATTCTGAGATGGTAAATGTGTTAGGGGAATCTGCTCCTTCAAAAACAATGGTTTGTAAATGGGTACTTGAGTTTCAACGTGGTCGTACAAGCATTGAAGATGATACACGCAGTGGACGTTCAAAAAGCGCATCAACACCAGAAATCATTGAGCAAATACATGTTATTGTTTTTGAAGATCCAAGTGTGACTACGCGTGAAATTGCTCATACCACAGGCATTTCAGATGAACGGGTATGGCATATTTTGCATAAAGAATTACAAATCAAAAAGGTGTTTGGAAAAGTGGTACCGCATACGTAAACAATTCAACAAAAACTCGCTCGAAAGCAAATTTCTCAGCGTCATTTGGATCGTTTTAAGAAGAATAAAACCGATTTTGTGCGTCGTTTTATAACTATGGATGAAATTTGGATCTATCACCATGTTCCTAAATTGAAACAGGAACGTTTACAGTGGATTGAAGCTGGATGTTCAGCTCCAAAGCAAACAAAGCATGAAAGATCGGCAAAAAAGGTTTTGGCATCAGTTTCTTGGGATGCTAAAGGGATTTTGTTAATTGACTATCTGGAAAATGATAAAATAATTAACTCTGAATATTATTGTAACTTTTTGGATCAATTGGACGCAAAAATTCGTGAGAAAAGACCTGGTTTGCAGCACAAAAAAATAATTTTTCACCAAGACAACGCACCTGCTCACACAAGTGTTTTGTCAATGTCTAAATTCAATGAATTGAAGTACAAATTGCTTGATCATCCACCGTATTCGCCAGATTTGGCACCTAGCGACTTCTATCTGTTCCGAAACCTGAAACAATTCCTCCGTGGAAAGCATTTTTTGTCGAATGAAGAAGTTACAGCACCCGTAGAGGCATATTTCGCACCTCTCCGAGGGATGCCACCTTGTCGTGGTGGAGAAGCCCAGGCATACCCGTGATCCACTGGGGTAGTACCTTCGGTCCAACCGAAGGGAGGGCCCGGTGGGGAGGATCGCCTGCTAAGAGCATCCCAACAAAATCCTAGATGGGCAGCTGCCTCCAGGAGTTACTCAGAGACTGGAGGATTGCACTTGTGCAGTCCAAAGGTCCCCCCTACAGCGCGGGCTCGTTAGGTGAGGGCAGCCAGTCTAGGGGAAGGAAAACCCCGAAATCAAATCCGTGTGTGTGAGGACACGTAAAACCCTCACTTTTATGGTAGCATGTCGAACAAAGGAGAAAACCTTCCGATGCTCGGAGCCGGAGAACGGTGCGAGGCGGAGTATCGTCCCAGCACCACCCTTCTGTCGTCATCCCACGATGGGCTAGGTGGCGCGTACCAGGCGAGAGCGCCACCGGAACTGGTTACCGCCCGAAGGGGGATGCCAAAGGAAAGACCGGGGGCGAGTCGGTGTGGCTCGCCCCAGGCCTCTTTGAGGACACCTAAAAAGAAGAAAAGGAAGGCGGAAACGTCCGCCTTCCAATTGTGGAGGGACAAGAAGGTGCATTTTCCTCCGCTCGGGAACGGTAAGGTCTCACGGGCGGGGAGGAGTTCGGCTCCTTGGAATCGCGAAGGAGGGGCGGGGGCTAGCATCAACCTCACCGCCTCTCAGGTGTGGGAACGGCACTTCCCGGAGGAGGGGTTCCCTGTGGCCGAGGGCGAATATGCCTCTCCGGCCGAGGAAGCTCCTTCCCAGGACACGCGCGAGGGGTGTGCCGGCGTGGGCAGGAAATGCTTCCAGTGGGGGATTCCGCGCGTGCGGAGACCCACTCAGGAGACTAGGACCCTGGCTGACAGGGTCATCGCAGGCCTGAACTACCTGCGAGATCTTAGGGTTCAACCGGGGAAGAAGGCTGCCGAGGGCTACGTGGGCAGGAGCCTGGCGGCCTTGAATAACTTCACTCGTGAGTCCCTCTGCAACGTAGAGGACGCGTTGGAGGAGTTCGAGAGGATGGCGGAGGAAGGGGGCCTGGTGGACGTCTTGGGGCCCTGGAAATTCAAGTTTGGGGTTTCAAGACTGAAATCGCCCGCATTGGGCGGATACTGGAGAGGGCTTTGCCCTCCTCTGCAGCAACCAGTGGCTGCTGAGGAGAGGCGCGAAGACGGGTGGACAGTCGTGTCCACCCGTAAAGGGAAGAGGAAGGGAAAAGGGCCTCAGACAAAGAGAGAGGGTGCCGCAAGGAAGGCGGCACCTCGCCCTAAAGGAGGGAGAGCTGGGAAGAAGGGAGCCCCGAAGAAGGGGCCCCCTCCTCCCCAAAAAAGGCCTCAAGCGAGGAACCCCCGCGCAACCCGGTTACTGTCACCGCGTTGCCGGGGGGTTCCATCAAAGATGTGATGGCACACGTCAAGCAACGGGTCGACCTGCAAGAGGTCGGTCTGGAACCTAACAAATTTAAGGTAAAGAGGGCCAGGAACGAGGGGGTGTTACTGGAGATCCCTGGACAGGACGGTCAGGCGAAGGCCGACCGCCTGGCCAGGAATCTCCAGGATGTGCTTTGTAGGGAGGCCGTGATCGCCAGGCCGACGAGATGGACTGAGCTCTGCCTCGTTGGCCTGGACGACTCGGTTATCTCCCTAATAGTTAGGGCCGTGCTTAAATTAACGGGGTGCCCCCCGAACCATCTCCAGACTGGGGAAGTCAGGAGATCGTCGAATGGCCTGCCAGTCCGAAATTGGAGTGGGGAGCCACTGTTTTAGGTGTGGAGGGGCCAGTCACGTAGCACGGGGGTGCGCCGCAGAGGTGCGGTGCCTCCTGTGCCAAAATGAGAGGAGGAAGTCCGCTCACCGTATTGGCGGCCGGGCCTGCGAGGCAGTCCCCCGGGCTACCCCAAGATGAGAAGTCCCTCCTCGCCGAAAACAGCGAAAAAGAGGAGAGTAAGGCCGCACGCGGGAGGACTAGGGATGCTTTGCACCTCCAGTTCACCTGCGGAGCGGCCAAAAATATAATTCCAGCGACTAAGACCCCTGCAGCGATCCTTAAAGGGGCTAAAGAGGTAGGGAAGGGGGTGATGGGGACCGAGGTAAGTCTCCACCGGGAGACGTGCCGCGTGAGCCCTCGGGACGAAAAGGGGCGGCCACGCAACGTGGGAGCTGGACCCCCGTCTAAGGATGGAAGCACCCCCTCCACCGGGAGGATGGTGAGGTGAGCTCCCGGGTTGAAGAGGAGCGGCCACCCACCGTGGGAACAACTGAGGCCCGGAGGACGGGATCGAAAATCCCGGTTAAGACGCCTGGGACAGATAGGTCAGGCCCCCTTTCTGATAAGAAAGGGGGCATATGTGCAAAGGGGGGAGATGTCGCGAGCGCGGGCGCGGTAAGGTCGAAGACCCCTGGGAAACTGGCTCCGGAGCCAATAGAGGGCCGCCCAACCCTAGCCGGCAAAAGCTGCAGGCCGGCGGGAGAGGGGGGGTACCACCTCCCTCTCCCGTCTCCACCTCCGGTGTTCGAGATGGAGACAGGGACAGGCCGGACCCACATCCGGACCTGCCCCTATTCACCCATCGCACGTTTCCCTCCGCTGAGGGAATACGGTTGGTGGATGCTTTACTCCGGTCCAAGGACCAGAGCGAAGGGTCCTATTAACCCGGTCGCGCAGCCTTGCCGATCCCCTCACCGCGGCAGGGGAGGGAGGCGCCATCTCTACCAGAGACGGCGTACAACATCCTCCCCTCCGCCGATCGGGTATACCGGCGATCGCCCAGGCTGTTTCTAGCCCCACCGACACCAATCTCGGCGGTATCCTCATTAGCGGGCGTGTCTCCACGTCCGACACTGATGCCTTTCGGCATCAAAATACCCCCCCTAAGTGGCGGGCGTGGAAACACGCCCGCCCCCCACGGGTCCCACGTTGGGGGGACGGCCGCGGCGGCGCCCCGTGCGCCCACCGCCCCCCTTGGAGGAGGAGGCCAGCCAACATGCCGGACTCATCATCCGGTGGCCAGCCTCCCGTCCAGCTTCCTGACACACGGCGCAGCGTGGTGCCGATTCACACGCCTGCGCCGTGTGTCCGCCCTGGCCACACCTATAGCATAGTCCGCTTCGATCTTTCGAAGCGGTACACATTGCTTTGGTGTGGCCAGGGCTCCAACATCTATAGCACTGGGGTGGCCGAGCCGCCAGCAGAAATATGCTGACAACCGACCACCCCAGTGCCACACTCCCCCTCACCGCCGCAACTAAGGGGAGTCTCGCCCAGAC